GTTACAGGCTGGGGACTGAATGGCTAAGTAGCAGTTGTGCAGAAAAGGACCTGAGGATTACAGTGGATGAGAAGCTGGATAGGTGTCCACAGTGTGCCCTTGTAGCCAAGAGGGCTAATGGCATATTAGGATGCATTAGGAGGAGTATTGCCAGCAGATCCAGAGAAGTGATTATTCCCCTTTATTCGGCTCTAGTGAGTCCACATCTGGAGTACTGTGTCCAGTACTGCCCCCCCCCCCATAGAAAGAATGTGGACACATTGGTGAGGGTCCAGCAGAGAGCGACCTAAATGATTAGGGGGCTGGAGTGCTTGACCTATGAGGATAGACTGACGGATTTGGGTTTGTTTTGTCTGCAGAAGAAAAGAGTGAGGGGGGATTTGATAGCAGCCCTCAACTTCCTGAAGGGAGGTTCCAAAGAGGATGGAGAGAGGCTATTCACAGTAGTGACAGATGGCAGAACAAGGAGCAATAGTCTCAAGTTATAGTGGGAGAGGTCTAGGTTGGATTTTAGGAAAAACTATTTCACTAGGAAGGTGGTGAAGCACTGGGATGGGTTACCTAGGGTTGTGATGGAATCTCCATCCCTAGAGGTTTTTAAGTCTTGGCTTGACAAAGCCCTAGATGGGTTGATTTAGTTGGGATTGGTCCTGCCTTGGTCAGGGGGGCTGGACTTGATGACCTCCTGAAGTCTCTTGCAGCTCTGATTCTATGATTTTGGATGACTGTCCAATCAGGGCCTCTTCTGGAGCAGTTGAAGTATAACCTGCTAGCTTCTGACCTACAAGTACATCTTGGCACTCAAGACAGTGCATCTAGCCATGAGGAATAATCCTTTATGGCTCAGGAAGCATGTCTGTTTCCTATCCAGAGAAATGGAATCTCACTTGAGGCCAAGAATGTCTAAATCTACCTATGTGTGTTCTAAATAGCCACTGCCTACATTACCTTCAGCACTAGTATTTTTCAGCAATATTTGCGTTAGCCGGTATGTTCACTGTTGCCTAATGAAGCACACACTGGAGCAGGTGATCCAGGAATTTGGATTGGTGGAGCTATGTCTTTTAACTGTGCAGTCCAGATTTTCAGAGAAGGTAGATTCTTTGGTAGTGTTTAAATGATACAATTTATGTTGTTTGTAAGCATATTAACAACACCAATCTTGGGTTTTTTTTGCTTGCGTGGCAATTTTATTAGTGTGGGATTTTAGAAACGTGTCTGTCATCTAGCAAATAGCTCATATCTTGTTTCAGTTCTATTTAAGGGATAGAAACACCTGTATTTCCCGGACAGAAAAGTAATATTCTCATTATTGTAAATTTGTTCTTTGTTACTGCCTTAAGGTTTAAATGGCTGTCTGTTCCTGCAGTATCTGAGTGCTCAGAGTAGTCACTTTGGCTGCAGAATATGGCATCTTTTTCTATTTGTTTCTCTCTGAAACACTGTCATATCTTATTGGCCTTATCTCATTTTAGCTTTCATGCCTCCTGAATGAAAAGATACAATTAGCTATTTTTGGTCTCAGTTTTTGTCTTATTTTTAATAAAACTGCAGGATGTGACAATAGTATCTCAGTGCTTCATATTTACTGCTTTCTATTCCTCGTCAACCTAGACACGGTCACAAGAATACCTGTTAATTGGCTCAGAAGAGTAGCCATGTTAGTCTGTAACTTTAAAGAAAATGAATAGACCTGTAGCATCTTAGACTATAAATATATATAGTATCATGAGCTTTTGTGGGTAAAACCCACTTCCTCAGATGAGATGGTGGGTTTTGCCCATGAAAGCTCATGATACTATATACAGGCAGTCCCCAGGTTACGTACAAGATAGGGACTGTAGGTTTGTTCTTAAGTTGAATTTGTATGTAAGTCGGAACTGGTACACATTGTAGGGGAAACTCTAGCCAAACATTTCTCCAGAGCTCAGTTTTATTCTCCCACACCTCACTTCCCTCAGTCCTTTATTCTCAAGCTGAGGTGTCTGCTGAGAAAAGCCGCTCCGCGCCTCCCTTGTCTGCTGGGGGGGGGGACGGGGACGCTAGCTTCTCGTCTCCCTGGTCTGCTGGGGGGAAGCAGCTAGTGCGGGGTTGCCTCACCCCGTTTGTAAGTAGGGATCTGATGCAAGTAGGATCCATGTAACCCGGGGACTGCCTGTATATGTTTTTGTTAATCTCTTCTACTCTTCTTTTCCCCATTAATTGGCTATTTCATTTACTAATGGTTTTAGTGTTTTTAAAAAAGCTTTTTTTCCCAGAAGTGTTTATCGGTTACTCTTCTTAAGTTAGAATACTTTATTTTTTGCTCTAACAAATGTGGAAAGATGCATTAAATAAGACAATTTGGAGTGAAATAATTTGCTGATTCATAGAGACACTTTGTATGGACCAAGATACTTAGCTGACAAAATTTACAAATTCCACCAGAACAGGCTAACATCATTGAAATTTTTGAATTCTACCTACTTTTTGGTCAGTTATTTTTCTTCTGTGGCCTTCACAAGTCCCTTCCACAAAGAACAACCTTGTGTCACAAACATCTTATGTTAACATGAGAGTTTATTGTAAATATAAACTAGAAAAAAAATCCAAATGACCTTCATGTCTCATGGATTTAATTCATTCTTTTTTCTTGAGGATCCTTCGATGGAAGTTCTATATTTTAAACAAATATGTGAATTTGAGGCACAAAGTAAAGTTGTCTGGATTTTGTGTCTGAGTTAGTGTGAGTGTCTCTTGGAAGCTGTTTTACAAATTTAACTATAGAATTGCTACTGCCAGATGTATAGTTTGGAAGACAATACAGTACAAGTAGCTAAAATTGGTACTTTGATTCCAGCTTTTGTCAGTATAATGCATAAGCTATCAGATTTATGTTCTTACTGCACACCACTTCTTTCTTGTCTCGAAAGAAAGTATAGATTATTTTAGATACCTGGTCTTATTGAAATGTTCATGTATGTACTTGCCACAAGGTTCAACTTTTTCAACTGAGCAAAAATGTTGCAATAATAAACTTTAACAACAGCAATAGATCATTAGTCGTCCATTTCACAAAGGATAAAATAAAATGTTAGGATCTCAGAACTTGTGCAGTAGTGAACAGCCCCTGCAATCTGGCATCTAAATGTTCCAGAAGGTCAGGCCCACGTATCACTGTTTTGTGAGTGAGGTTGTAATTTTGCATTGTGTTGCCCCCGAGCTTTAGTTTAAGCAAGTGTGTTTTGGAGTTTACCTGCATAATGTCAGTCACTTCTTGAACATAGACTTTATAGACTTTAAGGTCAGAAGGGACCATTATGATCATCTAGTCTGACCCCCTGCACAGTACAGGCCACAGAATCTCACCCACCCCCTCCTAGATGTATTTTTGACCTAAAGGCTTTTAAATATGAATGGTCTGTTTACCGATTTCATTTTACATAATTGCCCTTTGGAGAAAGAGGCAGCAATTGTATAGACTGGATATCCAAAAGTCTCTTTCTGAAATCATCATAGTTTTGCATTATGTGGAATGGAGCATTTATATTTTCACTTTCATCCATGGTAAAGAAAAGCTATTTTAGGGGCAAGAGTAGAGAGTGTAAGATGTTATGGTACCAGTTTCATTTTTTTCTCCCAGTTACAGAAAACAGATTTTCACAGCTCAGCTTGTGCAAAGGCCCTTATCTATATTCTTTCTCTTGTGTTGCATATAATTTACCAGTCAGCTGTTAGCCAAGAGAACAGTAGGGATCATTCATTTCTTCAAAAGCAGCTTAGCTTAACTAGTACTACATGTCCCTTGCATCATTTTGTTTTTAAATACAGAAGTGTTTTAGGACATGTGTCATTTCTACAAATCAACCTTCACAAGATTCCTCTGCCACATCCAGAATGGTCACATTTACTGAAATAATGTATTTCAGCTTGTACTTTTTTTTTTTTGGGGGGGGGGGATGAGGAGGAGGAAGGGGTAGGATCAAGAGTGTGGACGAATTTTTCAGGCAGCCATTAACACAACTTAATATTCAATATGTTTTTGCCCCCAAGTGATCAAATAGTAAATGATATCAATGAAAAATGGTTGTATTATGAAGCATTTCCTCCTAATACAGTGATATGGGATCAACTGTGCACTTGCAGAATCTATATAATGAGTAAAAGTTAGGCTTTGATGAACTTTCTTATGGGAGACCTTGAATTTTATATTCTGCTCTACTGATCTTCATATTTTGGCACACCCAAAGTAAAATTTTCACTTGCTGTATATGACCGTGCAGGAGAATATAGGAGAATAACATGCTTCCCCCACATCTTTCAATAGTAGCCAGTACAGCTTAGCCAGTACAGAAGGGGAAGTAATTTGCTCTCTTGATTTCAGTAAAGTTTTGTTGCATGACCTGCTCATAAACAAAGTAGGAAAAGCCAACCTAGATGGAGCTGATATAAGATGTGTGCAAACCTGGTTGAAAAAACATTCCAAGAGTTATCAGTGGTTCAGTCATGCTGGAAGGACAGAATGAGTGGGGTCCCTCAGGAGTTAATTCTGGGTCCAGTCATGCTCAAGATCTTCTAAATGATGCTTGGTCCTGCCATGAGTGCAGGAGACTGGACTTGATGACCTCTCAAGGTCCCTTTGTCCTACGATTTATATTGGTTTGTAGCCAATTACTCCACTTGGCTGTCCCTCCCTGAGTAAGTGGGAAGCAAGGTAATAAATTGTGATGCTGACCCTGTTTCTTTCCCCTGGTGAAACCTTTCCTGAAGGCTTAGAGAATATGATCACTTACCCCTTAGTGCATAATTTTCTGCTTAAGTTGAGTCTTCTCTTCTGAGCGCTAGTGAACTGGGCAGTCAAAATATTGTACCATCACTCCTCACTAAATATTTCGACCTGAGATACGGAGTTTTCAATAGACTCGTTATTGCTTGTTTCTAATGCTAGAATATTGAACCATCTCTCTTCTTTTCACTTCTGTTGTCCTTATATATTTAAAAATCGTTTCTATGTTTTACAGGTTTATGGGTGTCTGTGTACATCAAGGTCAGCTGCATGCACTGACTGAGGTAAGACTGTTTATGTTCAGTACTGAACTGTTTGTTGTGTACACACCTGGGGCCAGATTTTACATTTCATGCAAGAAGTCCCACTGGCTTTGATAGGATCACTCATTGTAAAGTTTACAGAATCAGGGTTCTGAATTGTTTCAGTTATAGATTCCTAACACCCAGCTTTCAAACACTGACCTTTAACAGAATGAAAATTCAACACTTAAGTTTGTAAAAAAGGCCATTAATAGAGTATCTAAATGAGATTTCATTGTATCTTTAAGGTGCCTTTATCTGAAAATGTGTATGACTTTCTTCAAGTGCCATCATGTTGCCATTCAGCCTTCTTACTTGATGCTTTATTTTGTGTGTGTGTTTGTATTGTGTGTGAGGGGCATGTTCTTCTTCAAAATGTTTTCTTCTTTCCTGGGCTCTATGGTGTTGTCACCCTCCATACAGCAGATGTAGGCTAGGCCAGAGTTTCCTAAATATTTCTTGCTGCATATACCCGAGATACACCAGCTGCCTGTGTACCCTTATGCTTCTCATCACTGATCCTTTTTGCATTGTTCTTAATAGTACCTGTCTTGAGGCATCTGTCCGTATTTCTCTGTTACGTGCCCATATACTTGTAGGGTGACATACAACCAAAACACAAACCCGGACTAATTTCTGAGCTCAGTAGAATGGACAATTGCTGTGCAAGGGAACACATGCTGTGCAGATTGGAGGTGAGGGCTCTGCATGTCAACCTCTGTCTGCTTCTGTGTTCTCATTGTAACATTTTGAAGTAAATTAACACCCATATTTTATATAACAAATTCCAACTGACTTGTAAAGCTTTGTCTGAGTCAACTTGAAAATGCAGTAGATACAATTGATAAAACCCACTGGTACACAGTTCTCCTGCACACTCCCCAGAGGTGTCTTGCATATCCCCAGGGTATACTACCATGTTTTGGGATGCTGGACTAGACTTCACACTGCCTGAAGCTCAGCAGTGTTTTTGAATAAGCCAGGGTGAGCTCTTGCTACCTTTTTGGTGTTCCCAGTTCCTATTGACTCAGTAAGGAACTAAGTCAATCTGAAATGGTATGATCTCCTGGGCAATAGCACATTGTACAGCTGCTACACTGACATTCCTTGCGTGTGATAGGATTTTAATGCAGTTGTAAGTAATGTCCCTGATTGCCCAAGCATGTATTAAGTGTTGTATCTTAATCTATTGGAAAAGGACTTGTTCAATAATTCATACCAATGTACTCCTTGGGCCTCTGCTTCATAAATAAGTTGGAGCATACAGCTTTCACCCGGGAAGAATTGGGAGTTGATCAACTTGTATGCTAAAGTATCTTCTACCAAAGTAGGTATTATAATAAAATTGGACATGAATTCATGTATGGACTCAGATAAGTTTCTACATTAGATATTGCAATTTTTTCTTTACACGATAATGTGTTTTAAAAATAAACTAGTACCATATATGATTGCAGATACACAGCTATCTTCATAAGTTTTGCTCCTTTTATACATTGATTTTTGTTGTGCTGTTCATTTGATGCTGAAAAGAAATGCACTTAGGTCATTTTTCCCTTTAGTGACAGAATTTTCAGAAGATATTTGTTTCACTATGTCTTTCTGTTGAGCGTTTTGATGAACTCATACAATAACTAGGTTTTTATTATGCAAATAATAAAACAAGTTTTTTGTTTAGCAATCTTGCATGAAATTCAGTACTTTTAGAATATTTTTACAGGACATGAGTTATTTGAAACTGCCGAAGATGAAAACATGTAAAAAGTCACAATACTGTCAAATCAACTTAATTTGTAGCTTTGTATTGCTAAAAAAAGTGTTACTTTGAAAAGTTGAGATTGAGATCACCTTGAATTATTATTTACCAAAAGGAATCTGCCTACCAAAAACATTTATGAAACTTGTATTTTTAGAGAATGCAGGCAGTTAGCAGAGCACAAAAACATTTTAAGATGCATGTGATTCTGTCAATGAATAAAATGAGGAGGAATATCTAATACATCAGTTGGCTGTGAGTGCATAGAACTAGACTAGATATAGGATGTTATCCGGTAAGCATGCAGCTTATTGGCCTGCTTACAGGGTAACCAGCCAACCGGCCTTGCGGGCTGCTCCCCACCTCCTCTGAGTGGGGGATGCTGCCCATGGACTGGTGGCTAACCGGTTAAACAAATCATTTAACTGGCTTACTATTGTAGGAGGTTTTCACATCCCTAATATGAACCTCTCCTGAATGGCTGCACAAGCACACAGCTTACAGGGAACACTGATTAGCAGATTTTAAAATCTGTATTTTCACAATGAAAAAAGATGTTTTTAAAATGAATACTTAGACTTTTCAGAAAATTGCAAGATGTACCAAATTTCAGAAGAACTTCAAAATGTGAGAATGAAAACTGCCCATCTCTGATATTCTTTAGTACCCAACTAAGTTGTTTTAAGATTTTTTTTTCTCTGTTTGCTTAAGTAAAACTTATTTGTGCCAATTATCCAAGCATTAGTGCTTGTCTCTTTTGGGGGGCTTTGATCAGGCTAAGCAGAGCGAATACTCTCTCCTTCCCTCTAAATGTGACCTAAAAGTGAAGGTACTTCATTATGCACTACTAAAATCTTGGCAGATACTACTGGTCATGCTCAGAATTGACATTCTCTTCCTAGATGCATGTCATTTAAACACCCCTTCAAAAAACAAGCAAACAAAAACCAAGAGAAACTTCCTTATAGAGAAGTAGTTAAGTTTTGAGGTGCTTGCTTTCTTCAGCAGTTTCTGATTTTTACGCAGGCAAAATAGACATCTTTTGTGTGTGTGTTTGTGTGGGGTGTGTGTGTGGGGGGGAGGGGGTTTGTTCCTTCCCCTCCCCCACTAGTAATACAGAATAATAGAGAGTATCCGGAGTCTTTCACAAAACTTTACTTTTGGATTGAGGCAAAAAGTGAGATGTTACGGGCTCAAGCTGATGAAATGTTTGTTTTATGTCCAGACAGAATAGGGGTGCTATGATGGAATGTTGTTTGTAACTTGAATTCTAGCGTTCGCTACTGCTCAAGTGAGAAATAAGGGATTTAACTAACAGCCTAAGTAATAAAATTGGCTTGCTGCATATGGACATTTGCTCATAGAAGCAGTGAGCCAGATGCAGGCATTCATTTAATGCAGTAGCTATTTTGTGGTTTATTAATTCGTACTTGTACAGTGCTCTGAAAACGTAAAATGCTATGTAAGTTTAAAGTAATATAATTAGTCCAAGTTTTGCCAGTTATACTATCATTTTCCCTTCTGGAATATTGTGGACATAAACAATATTGGCCACAGAGCTAAATGGAGTTTCTGGGGGTTGGAGAACTGGTAGTATTTTTTTACCTCTAGCGCCACCAGTTCCATTACAGCCAACGGTGACAGTAGTGACCAAAACTAAACTATCATCTGGCAGCTGTTCATTAGCTTGCGTGAAAGAAATGGGTGTCATTCCTTTTTCTTAGTGTCACACTCAACAAAATCCACCAGCGTGATTGAGTCTAATCTCTGTCCTTACTGGCACTCCCAGGAGAGCTGTCCAGGGCTGAACTGGCCACAGAGGTTGAACTACCCTCTCCGAGGCCACTGCTTTCTAGAGTGTGGTTGAGGCAGTGCAAACAGAATCTTGCATTACTGCAGTCTAGAGTTACCACTTTTCTAATGGCTGGTAATCAGACACTCAAGGTTCTGCCTCTGCTCTGCTTCCACTCCTACACCCCCAATAAAAAAAAGAAAAACAGGGGCATCAGAACTTGTCAAATGGTATCTGGCCATACAAATGAAAACCCCGAGTGTCTGGATGAAAACTGAATGGATGGCAAATATACCGTAACATGGATTGGACCTGCTCTTTGGATAGAGAGAGGTCTTTGGACCTCTGACAGCACTGAAGATTTTTCTAAATTAATTGCATAGTTTTTAGACTCTAAAAGCGGCTTAAAAATAAATTTCAAATTTTGTTTGAATGTGTTGAAATCTCCTTAGTACAGAGAACCTGCATTTCTACTGTGGTTGGGAATAATTATATTTTCAGAAGGATAACAGTTTGAGATTTGAAATTAACACGCGAATAAATACTTTCATCCTGTCTAATATATTCTTGTATGTGTTTATTCCCATGACTGTTTGTAATCTAAAGAAAGCTGAGGACTTCTAACAAATGTAATGTATTGTACATTAATTTTCTTGAGGCATGCAAATATATTGAGGAAAGTAGCCATAAAATCTCTGAAAGTAGCTCTAAGAATTTGAGAAGTCGTCGTCTGGCTGTTCAGGATCTGTTACCAGTATCAAAACACTCTATTGCTGGCAGGTGGCATATAGAGAGTTACATTTAACAAAACTTTTTCCATATGTCTGAGCAGGCAAAGATCTGCAGGACATAAGCTGTCTGCTTGGGGAAAGTGTTGACGTTCCGGTGCTGGGTTTTGTTTTCTTTTCTTTTTGGCAGCATTTGTACTAGTTTTTAATTGTCCCCTTTCAGAAATAGGTTTTGTTTGAAAACTGGCCAAGAAACAGCTAGTGCATGTTGCTTTCAAATAAAAAAGTGGAATGAATTGGTTTGGATTGGGACTCCGGGTATGTTGTTGTTTCACAGCATGATCAATATTGAATGTGCTATTCAGATAGGGAGCTGTGGCACATCTCTCCTTTTGAGCAGCAGAACGGTATGTACTCTTGCAAGCACACCATGAAAACATTTGTAAAGTGGAATTGATGCTTTGATAAAACAGGTCTGTAGAGTGCAAAGGGGGAAATCTGGATTTGCTTCATTCAGTAGGTAGCAGCCACTTACTAAGCGTTCACTATCCTTGTGCACCTTGTTCCCGGAGTCCTTGCAATGATTCCTCTGAGGAGGCTCTGAGCAAGGGACTGGTAAGTTTGTATATAATGCTTTTCAAGTGGATGATATTTGAAACCTTTCTGTGTACTGTCTGAATTTTATATACTCACATTACAGCATTGC